AAAAAAAAAAAAAAAAAAAAAAAATACAAAAACATTAGCTGGGTGTGGTGGTAGGAGGCTAGGGCAGGAGAATTGCTTGAACCCAGGAGGCGGGGGTTGCAGTGAGCAGAGATCACACCTTGGCACTCCAGCCTGGGTGACAGTGCGAAACTTCATCTAAAAAAGCAAAAAAAAAAAAAAAAAAAAAAAAAAAAAAAACCGAAAGAAAAAAACCCCTCAAATAACAATAACTGATGTACATTCAAAAACATCATCTGATTTTTTTTGTAAGTTATCAAGAGTGATTTGCCATGGAAATTTCAGAAGTTATATGGAAAAATTAAAATTTACCGAAATTAAACCAGGCACAGTGGCTGACACCTATAATCCTAACACTTTGGGAGGCCAAGGTGGGAGAAACACTTGAGCCCCGGAGTTTGAGCCCAGCCTGCACAACATAGTGAAACCCTATCTCTACAAAAAATTCAAAAATTAGCCAGGAGTGGTGGCACATGCCTGTAGACTGAGCCACTAAGGAGGTTGAGGAAAGAGGATCACTTGAGCCCAGGAGGTTGAGGCTGCAGTGAGTTTTGATGGCACCACTGCAATCCCCCATGACCCTGTTTCAAACATGAAAACATAAAAACAAAATTACTGAAACTACTTTTGTGAATTGATTAAAACAGAATTATCTCCCCAGGCTGAAAACTCTGTTTCTCAGGTGAGTGGAAGTGATTTGCCAAAGGGCAAAAAAGAAAGAGCTGGAAAATAAACAATGTGGAAAAAGAGTGGTACTGATTAGATCTAAGGTACTCAGAAAAAAGGAGATGATAATTAAGGGGATTTTGTGTTTGAAATCCAGTGATTCTCAACTAAAACAAGTCTAGTTAGAATCCCAGAGGAGCTTTTAAAATATTATAATGCCCCTGGAGATTCTGAGTTAATTGATCTGGGATGGAGTGCAGGCACTGATATGCCTTAAAAACTCCCCAGGTATTCTGACATGCTGGAACTGAAAACCACCAGTGCAAGCAAGGGATGAGGCTGACTTGAATTCAGGTGGCTTCAGTGAGAAACTTTTAATAAGGGGCTTAAATTAACAAGGGACTCTGACAAAGACCAATTTTTCCACAATGCCTCAAGGAACTAGTTGAAATAGCTTACTTGTGGATGGGGATGAAAGCACAATTGCAATAACTTCAAAGGTCTAGGTTAAAACATCAGAAAGCCAACTTGAAGGTGGTAGAACTAAAGAATGAATCCCCCAAAAAGACTAAATTACCTGAATATGTAAGAACACAAACCCATAACTTCCACATTCCTACATAGTCTGGTCTTAGTTTGGCTGCTGTATTAAAATTCCTTTGATTGCATAATTTATAAACAACAGAAATGTATTGTTGACCGGGCATAGTGGGCTCATACCTGTAATCCCAGCACTTTGGGAGGCCGAGGCAGGTGGATCACCAGGTCAGGAGTTTGAGACCAGCCTGGCCAACATGGTGAAACCCAGTCTCTACTAAAAATACAAAATTAGCTGGGTGTACAGTGCGTGCCTGTAACCCCAGTTACTCTGGAGGCTGAGGCAGGAGAATCGCTTGAACTTAAGAGGCAGAGGTTGCAGTGAGCCAAAATCACATTATGGCACTCCATCCTGGGCAACAGAGTGAGGCTCTATCTCCAAAACAAAAAAAAAATTTCCTCTCTTGCTTGGCTGACCGTTCCTTGTCCCTGGACTAGAGAAAACAGGCTTTTCTTGTGGCTTTTTGTGTGTGCGTGGTTTTTTTTGGTTTGTTTTCACTGGCATTTCCAGGTTGCTGGCAACTCCAGCTTCCAATTTGGAATATTAAAAACAAAACAAAACCCAAGAAATTCGCAAAAGTTTAGTTTTTTGGGTCCCCAGGTCTGCCTTCAGAATCTTCTTGTGTTTGTTTACATATAATGTTTAGGGCTTTTAATGCAATTATCAGGAGGAACAGGGGAAAGCATGTCTACTTCATCTTCCCAGAAGTGGCTATCTCACCTTTTAGTCTTTAAACAATCTTTTTACACATTTACAGTGTATGACGTTGCCCT